AGGCAGCGCTTCGGCACCCCGCAGCCCTGTGCCGTGGGGAGGAGCCGCTGCCGCCAAGGGTCTGCGTGCCATCCCAGCTACAGCGCGAGGCCTTGGCTGTTGCTGCCATCGCTGCACACGGGCACTTCCTGATGGTTCTGAGATCTTCCAAGGGGACACGGTCTCTGCCACCCCCCACCTCTCTGCCTGCTCGCCCACAAAGGAGCCCGAGCCCCGGGCCAAGCCTTGCTCCCGTGGGCAAGGGCAATCCCCTGTCTCGCTCTGTGCGCCGGCAGAGAGGCACCAGAAGGGACGAGCTCTGCGGCTGCAAGGGGGAACTCCTGCCTCAGCGCTGGCTCCAGCCCGGCAGTGCAAAGGTACCAGGCTGGAGGTGCAGGGGAGGGAAACATGCAAAGCTTTACACTGGCTGGAAGGTTTTTTGCGGGGAGGAAGGGATTTCAGGCATGCCCAGGCAGCCAGAAGAGCCAGGCAGGGAGGGAGCTGGTTTTGCCCTGCCTGAACTTCTGCCTGCACAAATCCAGTGTGGTGCCTGTTTTGCAGGTGGGAAGACCTGGAGAGGGGAAGCAGGCTGTGCGACAGAGCTCCAAGGGTGTCCGGAGGATGTTACCGGTGTCCCCAGCTGCCCTAGACCCCCCAGGCAGCCTCAAGGAGGGCCTCCTGGGGGACAACCCATGCAGACACCCCAGGGACCTGGCGCAGGCAGCACCATGGTGCTAACAGGAGTCGGTGTATATCTGCTTTTGTCCATGCAGCGTGGCCGTGGCTGTCCAACGTGCTGCCCGGGGACGGCGAGGGCTCAGCGACAAGGCTCCTCCTGGTTGGGAAGAGTGGAGCAGGGAAAAGCGCCACTGGGAACACCTTCTTCAGAGAACACGTGTTCAAGTCCAAGTTTGACCAAGCTGATGACCGTGAGCTGTGCACAAGCACAAGGGCTCTGCAATGGCAAGGACATCACGGTCATTGACACAGCCGGTATTTTTCATCCAAGAACTGCCATCAGTGAGGTGTACAAAAAAATTACTCATTGCGTCAGGCTGTACTCACCGGGCCTCCACACGCTGCTGCTGGTAACCGAGCTGGGCCAATTCAGAGTGGAAGACAAGGAGGCCGTGCGGAGACTGCAGGATACTTTTGGTGTTGATGTTTTGAGGCACACGATCATCCTACTCACCCATGCATAAGACCTGGCGGGGATGTTTCTGCACGATTACCTGCAGTATTGAGGCAACAGAGCGCTCCAGGACCTCGTCCTGTGGTGTGGGAGCAGGTACTGTGGCTTCAACAACAGAGCAGTAGGTGCCAAATGGGAGCAGCAGGTTGTCAAGCTGATGGGGATGGTCTCCTGCGTGGTGTGGGAGAACAGGGGCCAAGTGGTACAGCAACGACATGTACCTTGGAGCCCAGTTTAACAGAAGAGAAAGTGGAGTATCACATAGGGAGATACAAAGCAGAGAGGAAAATGATGGAGCAGTCCAGAGCTACACCATGCAGGATAATTGTGGGTTGTGGGATAATTCTTTTTGTCCTTGCTCTGTTTTTTCCTGATTTTCCTTATTTATGCTGCATTTCTTTATTTTTTCCTGATTTCCTTATTTCATGGTAGTGATGAATCACAGAGTCACAGGAATACTGAGGCTGGTAGGGACCTCTGGAGATCATCTAGTCCAACTAAAAAGCAGGGTTCCCCAGAGCTGGTTGCCCAGGACTGTGTCCAGTTAGGTTTTGGACACCTCCAGGGATGGAGACTCCACCACCTCTCCAGGCAGCCTATGCCAGCGGTCACCCTCAAAGCGAAAAAAGTTTTCTGACATTTAAATGGAATTTCACATGTTTCTGTTTGTGCCCATCCCCTCTCGTCCTGGCACCGGGCACCACTTGGTCTCCATCAGGTGAGGACAGGATCACCCTCAGCCTCCTCTTCTCCAGGCTGAACAGTCCCAGCTCTCCCAGCCCCTCCTCCTCTGTCAGATGCTTCAATGCCCCAGTCATCTTCACAGCCCTTCACTGCACCCGCTCCAGCGTGTCCACGTCCATCTGGCACATGGAGCTCCACAGGCACATGCTGCTCTCCAGCCCAGGGAGTCCTCATGTAATTATCACTATTTCCAAGGGAGATTATAAACTAAAATACTTCAAACCCACCATTCCTGGCCTGGCACCGTCCTACCACGCTGCCACACACAGCCCGGGGTGCCCTGATTTACTGCTGTGCATGCAGTCGCTGCTGCCACTGCTCTTGGAGAAGCCACCAAATGCTTGCTTATCATGTGTGATAGAGACACGAGGGCTGGTTGGGAAGGGAGAGAAGAGACGGTGGCAGCCCTTCTCTGCCGGGCCAGGAGTGCAAGGGTGGCTGTGGGACCTGCACCGTTCTTCAGGCCAAAGCAGTCCCTGCCCCAGGGCATGGTGTCAGGACCTATCACCCTTCCCCTGCCTCTGGTGTCCGTCAGGGAGCTGCAGCTGGGGTCAGCTGGGCAGGGGACGTTTTGTTTTCCTCCCTAGGTCAGTGAAAATATGAGATGAGGGAAGACCCATGCAGACAGCCTGGGAAGTCTGGCAGGGCCTTTGCCCGCGGCACTGGGGTCTCTCCCTGGCGTCTTGGAGCTTTCAGCTCTGTCCCGCAGTGCTGGTCCCATGCGTACGGACATGGGGGGCAACAGTGATCTCCTCCCAGCTCCAGGCCAGTTCATCTGGGTTTCCTGTGCAATGCAGTTGCATTACAGTGACCTCGGCAGAGCCACAGATGCCTTGAGGGTCGGCAAAAGGCTCCGCAGAGCTGAGAGCATCAGCAAAGCACCAGGGTAAAAGAGAGGGGTCCTTCCAGAGGGATCCGCTGCAGAATGGGCAAGAGATGGGTCTGTGCGGGGCCATGGCCGGGGCCAGTGCCCATGGCAGCTCCAAGAACAGCACTGGGAGTGTTTGATGCTGGCGCTGGAGATGCCTCCTGAGCCAGGGAAAGTCCAGCCTGGCGGCTCAGTGGGAAACCAGCCCAGGGTGTGAGCCCTCTACCAAAGGTCCTGTGAACAGGCTTTTTCCATGGATGCAGTGAGCTCCAGGCATTGCAGGTAACAAAGCTCAGGGCAGGCGAAGGGAAGCATGGATAACCTCAGCTTGCAGAAAGGGCAGCTCCCCTTCCTCACCCCCAGCCCATCCTCCCTAAACAGGAAGGAGAGGGAGGATGCCGTTCCCCTGCCTGTGGCCCACAACATCCCCTGCAGTGCAGTGCCTGCTGAGTTGGCAGGGCTGAAACTCCTCTGCTCCCCAGGGAGTGGGGACTGATCGCCCTCCATTTGAGCCTCCCAGGGCTCAGCATCACAGTGACAAATAGTTGTGAAAGGAACCAGCTACAGCCTTTGTCACAACTGGGAAACACCATCGTAAAACTAACAGACAGAACAGACTATAATTAAAACAAAAAACTGGGATAAATATTGCATTTCTAAGTCCTGCAAGATATGGTCAGCCCTGAAGTGGTGAGGCAGTTGGACCAGATGATTGTTATAGGTCCCTTCCAACAGAACTATTCTATTCTATTCCTAATTTCCTTTCTGCAAAATAAGCAAAGAATTAAAAATGTCTTAAATAATCAGAAAGTATGTGAAAGACTCATGTGACAAGTTAGAGAAAAAAGGCTTAAAGAACTTTATTAGAGTTAAAACAAAGGCATTTCCTTCTTCAAACACTCAGGCAGGACAGAGAACTGCTTTTTTCATTCATTTGACTCAGATATTCATAGGGTGCAGATAACCATGAGAAGTTAATGTTCCTGTAAAGACCCGGTGTGTACTACCAGTACAAACAAACTTGAAAACAAGGAGTTTGTTAAAGAACCATTATGGAAATGCAATCAAAATTTCCATCTCTGTTGACTTGCAGTTCTTATTTGGAAAAAAACATTGGTCAAGCCTTATTCATGGAAATCATAACCCACACACACTAAAAGCAGGTATTACAACCTTTTTTTTTTTCTTTTTTTTCCCTAGAATAATAGTAGCAGAATTTAAAATAATTTACCAAAGGCACCTGTGCATTTTATTCCAGAGTTTTAATTTTGCAGCTTCTGATGTTTATGGTTTTTCTTCTCCTGATACACTGGCTGGAGTTTAACCATTGCCTGTGAAGCGCGGCAGGGCATGTTAGAGAGAACGTGTGTGGGAAGAGATTTCTCTGAATTGCTAATCAGCTGTGCTGAACAAACAGCCTTGTATCAGCTGACACTGAGGAGCCGGTTCTGCTGTCGAACAGCAGAAACTGCACAATAATCACAGAAATAGGCAAGTACAGAAAATATCATGTCCTCCCTATGGGATACATTTTAGTTGGGTACTTCTTCTCCCCACAGCTCTGTGCCCACAGCCAACACATCAGCTCTGTCTTCCTCCTCCACACACGGGCAGGGCTGCCAATTTTCCTGGCTCAGCGGACTGAAGAGGCTTTTACTAGAACAAGTTTTGGCTTCAAAGTTGCCAGCCTGGGTGTCCACACAGCAAAATATAAAGGCTATTCATGAAGTAGCTGCACCTCCAGTAAGGCTGGGCACTCAAAAATGCCCTCATTTCCCATGTGAAAACACTGAATCCTGAGGTCCATCTACTGGCTGCTCCCTGAAGGCAGAGCTGGTGGCAATCGTGCTGTTAGGGGACCCAAGGAAGGGGCCAAGCAGGGCACAGATGGAAAGAAAATTGTGCAGCCGTTAAACACCATCCCCCATGGAACCAGGCCTGGGGCTTGCCCAGTCGTGGTCCTGCTGCAACAGGGATAAAGAGGAGCTGTGCAGTGGAGGCTACGGTGCAGACAGAGCTGTTGATAAGGCGTAAGCGGGAGAACATGGCCCAATTCCCAGAGCAGAGGGAATGAGGGGGCGACTGGATCCTTTCCACTGCCTCCGTGTAACCAGTGGATTCTGCAAAACCATCCACACACAGCAGACCTCTGCAACCCACATAAACTTTACCTGAAAAATAACCGGAAAACCTGGTGAAAGAGGAGGAGGAGGTGGCAAAGAGTTCAGTGTTCATGTAGAGAGTGGCTGAGGGAACTGAGGTTGTTTAGTCTAGAGAAAAAGAGGCTGAGGGTTGTAGCCAGGTGGGGGTCGGTCTGTTCTCCCAAGGAACAAGCGATAGGATAAGAGGAAACAGCCTCAAGTTGTGCCAGGGGAGGTTTAGATTGGAGATCAGGAAACCTTTCTTCCCCCCAAGGGCTGTCAAGCCCTGGGACAGGCTGCCCAGGGCAGTGGTGGAGTCCCTGTCCCCGGAGGGATTTCAGAGCCGTGTAGATGTGGTGCTTGGGGACATGGGTTAGTGGTGGGCTGGGCAGTGCTGGGGTAACGGTTGGACTCCGTGGTCTTAAGGGTCTTTTCCAGCCTAAACGATTCTGTGATTCTTTGATTATGGCAGGGGGGTCCTGTCAATCAGGTTTTTTAAGGTGAAAGCATGGCTGTGGCTCAGCAGGCGCTGGGGCAGGGTGAGCCCTCATACCTCCCTGGCCTTGCCAGGGTGTCACCACATGCAGGGATTGTGCTTGGGAACTGTGCCCATTTCCTGAGCGCTGTTGTTCAGCCTCCAGACTAAACCACCCCAGTTCCCCCAGCCGCTCCTCATCAGACCTGTGCTCCAGACCCTGCACCACTTGGTTGCCCTTCTCTGGACATGCTCCAGCCCCTCAATGTCCTTCTTGGAGCGAGGGGCCCAAAACTGAACCCAGCACTCGAGGTGCGGCCTCACCAGGGCCGAGTACAGGGGGACGGTCACTGCCCTGCTCCTGCTGGCCACACTATTGCTGACACCAGCCAGGATGCTGTTGGCCCCCTTGGCCACCTGGGCACACTGCTGGCTTGTATTCAGCTGGCTGTCGACCAACACCCCCCGACACGCTTCCCCTAGCGAGCTT